CAAATCCAACCCTCTTTGCTACCGGGGGCGAGGTCCCATTAGCAAAGAGGATTGGATTGAGCTCCTGAATCTGGACGTGGTGAACGCAGAGTTGCAGAAAAGCAGTTCAATCTCGAATTTCTGCACCTCTTCGCGAACAGGTCTAGATTCAGGGTTCAATCCAATCCTTGTTGCTGTTGGGGCCTTGCCCCGGGAGTGGGAACTCTACCCACTGCTCCCCTTAGGAGTAGTGGAGGTAATTTAAAAAAAAAAAAAGTAGTGGTAGGTAGGTGGGTAGTGCAAGGTGAAATTGAGAGAAGAATCAGCTTACCGGTAGTTTTTCAAAAAAGAGAAATGCGGCCCGGAAAAAAACAAACAAACAACACGCCGACCCCTCGGTCCTGACCGTCCGCAACCATGGGAAAAGAATATAGCCACAAGGGCCACAAAACCAAAGAAACCGAACAGTCAAAAAAAAACAAAAAAGAAAGCGAACAGTAAAAGGGGGAAGTGCACCTGTGCAACGTGGCTTGCTCGGCTATGCTCCCACTGCGGGATAGGTAGGGTTTAGGGCAGCCTTGCTTAGCACTACCACCAGTAGCAGTCTGCAACCACGCCACCGTGGCTGGGGATTGGGTGATGGTCCTTGTATTGAGGCCTGACTGCAGGGGCCATGCCCCACTTCTCTCGAGGTTTCGCTCTGGTTTCCAGTGTACATGGCTCCTTGCCATCAGATCTGAAAATCTCACGGCCTTAGTATGACCACGTTGGGAAATATGCGAAACATAAACTAAACCCCCGCTACTAGTGGGTCACGGCCCCAGGAGTAGGGATCAGCCAGGGTGAATGGTCCAGAGGTTGGGTGAGAGGTAGCCTCCATATGTGTGTTTCATCTCTAATACTATAAAGGAAGAAGCAGGTCTCGTGTGACGGTGTCGGACCAAATACCCTTACAAGGGTATTTGGCCATGCTTTTGCATTCGACATGGTGACGGCGTCAGCTACCATGATGAAGTCAGTCGGGAACGGAAAGGGTGTGCACGCCTGAGCGTGACGTTCGAACCGAATTCCTCGGCCAATGAGGCCGAGGCGAATCGGCGAGAAAATTTCGAGAGTATGAGCACGAGTTATTATGATGCGAGCCATGATGATTAGGATCAGTAATAATACCCCTCGACAGAAGAGGTCGAAGGGTCAGTTGGGTTAATGTTGTATCAGGTAGATCTACGACACGCACTGAGACTTGGTCTGGTTACCGGTACCAGGTGTTTAAAATTTTTGACTTTCGTTTTTCCGTACTCGGCCTCCGAGTCGAGTACCCGCCGCATCTAACCCTACGTGGAGTGATACCGGCCCACATGTCACTTGAGTATTTTCCGCGGCTCTTAGCTGCCATGGACCTCTTTCCCGGCACTTGAGTGTTTACCACGCTGCGACCCTCAATGTCGCAGCCACGGCTAAGTACCGGCCCTTCGGGCCTTCCGACGAAATACGTCCCCTTGATGGTCACACACACACTCAAGCAAACAAGCACTCAGATAGGCCGCAGGACCGGCAAGCATGCACATACACAGGCTTAAAGACGGGGTCAGACCGCTGGCCGGGCCAAGCCCCGAGACAATGCTTTATACATACCAGAGCAGCTCCCCTTCTACTCGAAGTGGGAGCTAGCTCAGTAGGTTTTAGGACTATTTGATATACGGGGGATCCGGGGATCAAGACGTACCGCCTGCAGATAGCTCCCTTTTGAAAGGGATCTCGACTTTTGTTTCACCCGATGAACGATTGGGACTTGAACCCGTGCCCTCTATATAGGAAGTTAGTTAGAGGATAGTAGAGTTTAAGCCCCGGATCTGACAGGTGGTTCTACGAGGCGGTTAGCAGTTAGATTCTTTTGTTTTCTTTTATTTATTTATTTATTTTTATTCTTATCTTTAACGATCAAATTTCTTATTTAATTATTATTATTATAAGTTTTATTCTCTTCTTTTCTGTTGAATCCGTAGTTTTTTTTCGAATAGTTTGTTTGATGAATCTGTCGCGAGATTCGCGATGGATTCATCGAAGGGGCAACCCGATACACCGCGAGTCTCGGCTCGAAGCCAAGAGGGTCGCTCGATAGTGGCTCACAACCTCGAGAGAAAGGGGCGAGGTAGAGCAAGCACCGCGAGAGCAAGCGGGCGAGAGGGTGGAGATGGTCGCGCGGTAGGAAGAAGGAGCGAGCGCGGGCGTGAGCGGGATGGCGAAGGGAGAACCGCGCCGGAAGCAGTGGAAATTGGTGCGCGGAAAGCAGCGGAGAGATGGTACTGAGGAGGCAGCAAGGTAGCGGCACGAGGAGGAGGTAGAAAGAGAAATAGTAGAAGAAGTACTTGTAGAAGAAGAAGAAGAAGAAGGAGAAGAAGGAGAAGAAGAAGAAGAAGGAAGAGGAGGAAAAAGAGAAGGACTCGGAAGATGAGCGCGTGGAGGAAAGGAAGAGGGGCGCAACTTGGAAAAGAGAAACAAACGAGGAGGAAACAACGCGCGGAAGGATAACGAAGATGAGCATGTGAGAAGAAAGCAAGAGTTCGGGGAAAGGTAACGCACCGTGCAACAGAGGAAGGCGTGCAGTGAGAGGCACAAGATGGCAAACGAGGAGATTAGAAAGATAGAGTCGTGGGAGCAGGAGGAGACCGCGCGGAGGGAAAATGAGGAATTCGCAACGGAAGAAGAGAATAGCGGCATAGCATAAGGAGAATAAAGTAGAAGGGAGGGAAGAGAGTAGAAAGAAAGAAAAAGAAAGTGGAAGGAAGAAGGAAAGTAAGAAGAAGAAGAAGAAGAAGGAGAGGAAGAAGGGAGACGTGGAAAAGGGGCCGACTTACCTATCGTCCGCCCCACTTGTTGGATCGTGCGCTTGTGCCTGTTACATGCCCCGTGCTATGGTTACGGTATCGGGACGTATCGTGTTGGGGAGCGAAGGGCAGTGAGCACTGTCAGCAGCTATGACGATGACAACAATGACTACGACTTCGATGGTGGCAAGGGCGAAGAGAGAAAGAACAGGCAAGTATCCTATCACGCGATCTACTCACTAAAATCAAATCGTATGTACCTACCACTGAAGGGAAGAAAGGTGCACTACTCCTAGAATAAGGAAGTACAAAACACTACATATGTATGTGTGTGCGTGTCTATGTGTGTGTGAGTGTACATATGTGTGTGTGTGTGCGTGGCTTTGTGAGTGTGAATTGTTCGGCCAGCTGTACCACACTGTGATCGATAAGGCGAACGAAAGCGGATGAATCTACCGATGACTCGGAAACGTGAATGAATACACTACTGTGCACGTGTACGAGTGGGCGAGTTTGTATATGTGTGTGGGGGCATGCA